ACTTCCCCCCCCCCCCAAACAGCTAGCCAAATATTCTCTGAAAGAACAGGAAATTGGGTAATGATTTGCCTTTAGCACTTGATGAGCAACCCTGCTGCCATGGAACATTCAGATTCTGTTTTCATGGCTAGAAGATACGTTAAGCTATATTTCATGAATGTCTTATCAAATCTGTTTAACATACTGTGACATCTGCTTCACATTGAATATCCTACAAATCTCAGCTGCTTTGTTAGGGGGGCAGGAGCAAACTTTCAGCCTTCTTGGCAACAGAAATCAATTTCACCCAACTTGTGGTCAGTGCCCAATGAAATCTCATAAGCTAGAAAGTACATGACCCAAACTTCTTTTTGCCAAGGAGCCAAACTTTACTGTTTTCTCCAACAGATAGTATTATTTGTCTGATTTGCCAGTTTTACTGAGACCAGGTTACTGGAAAGTGTCTACGGTGTAAGTCTAATTCCTTAATATTTTGTCAACTACAGCATTCACATGAAATAAATATGTGATCAGAAAAAAATTGGACTATTGATTGTAACTTTTGCTATGTAGGATCTGATGCTGAACATTCAAATACCACTACAGACATACCAATTTTTATTAATATTAGACAAAATCCACAGGTAAAATACTCCAGCACAGACCCTAAGGAAATGAGTGGCTGTTGTCCAACAGCACCATATTCTTCATTCAGAAGTTAGAGTTCTCTGTGTCTCTAAAAGGCAGGACTAGGATTACGGTGTGGAAACAAGAGTTTGGCAAGGTCTTTAATTGTAAGAACTATTCAACTGTAGAATAGACTACTGAAGGTGATAGGTTCTCCTTTTAAATATTAAAGCAGAGATTGTTATATGTCAGTGATAATGATGTTTAAGCCTCAACAACTTGGTTTCATGAAATATACTGGTTCTGCAATTCCTAGAATTCCCAACTTCTGGACAGCATCAGGTCAAGCAAGGGTATTGACGCTTTATCCTGATCAAGCTAGGGAATTGGACTTGATTACTACCATGGTCCTATCCAGTTCTAAGATTCACTTTGCACAGAACTTCCCTGTGCCTGCATTTTCACTATCAGTATGGCCAAAAATCTGATAGGTATCACACTTGCTTGGTGGAAAGTGTTGATTCTTCCAAAAGTTAGCAGGCTGGAAAGAGCAAACCACCTCAGAATGCAGATGCTTGCCTCAAAGCAGCTCCAAATGGCTCTATGAATTATCTTGGAAAAATCAGAGCTTCTCCAGAGCCTACACTCAGCAACCTCATACATCATATAAAATCCTCAGAGGCCTCCTGAGTGACCCACACAATTGCCCAAGTTGCCAGTTCTCTGAGTTCTCAACCACTGCTAACGCAGGGAGAACTGAAAGTGTCTTCATGTAGCTCATGCTTCTCTCAGCTTGCGAAATAGCTCTTTAGACAACCAGGAAGAGGGTAATCCAGGAGTATGCCTACGATTTGTGGCATATCCAAATGGCAGCAAACACACATTAAGCACAACAGTTTGAGAGCTGCAGCTCTATCATGTGTAAGCGCTTTACAAGTCAATGATACTCCTTATCACCTAATTCCAGAATTTTCACTAGAGCAGAAAAACAAATGCAACACCCATGAGCTTCATAAAATAAGTTCCAATAAAAGAGAAGGAAATAAGTTGCAAAAGTCACTAAACTCAGATTTACAGGCAATGAACTGTGACTGCTAAATTATGGTAGTTATGCATAAACTAAGCTTGATTACTTATCAACTGAGCCAACTATGACTTGTTCAGCAAATCATGGCTTTGCACAGTGAAGTTAGGCATACCAATCTCTTTTCCTGATAAGCTCGTCATAATTTTTTTTAAAAAGTTCACCTGACACCTTCTTTTATTTATCTTCAAGCATATTTTTATTCTTCCCAGGCTTTAGAAAGACAATTGTTTCATTGGCTTTACTGTGTCTCTGCCTCCTCCCCCACCCCCCATTTCCTTTGGATTTTAAAGGCAAGCTTTTATTGGAACCTATCAGTTGAAAAGCAGTATAAAAATACACCCGAGTCCCCTTCTTCGATGCGTGCATCTCCAAGCACAGAGAAAAGCCTTAAGCCCTCAACAACCACGGAGCTCACGGGGTTACTTTCACTCAGCCATTCTCAGTCCAAGGAACCTCACGGGATTGTTGTGGGAAAATCCGAAGGGAAACCCCCCTTCCACAACCTCTTGAGCTGCCCAGAGAAAAGACAGGATATAAACGCAGTACATAAGCAGATGAGAGAAGGGCCCCATAATAATAGAGGAAACAGCTGACGAAACTGTTCAACTAAAGAAAAAAAAAAAGGCAGCAGACTTTTCCGCCAGGAGCTCAAAGGGCTCCCTGGAGGTTTCTGTAAGAGGTACTGCAACACCGCTGGAAGGCACCAGACGGGGGGAAGGCGGCTTGAAATGAAACGAAAGGCCTTCGCTGTGCCCTAGCTGGAGGAAAGATAGAACTGGCAGCTAGAAATTGGGACATCATTATTATTATCATTATTATTATTTTTCTAGTTTTGTACGCTGCCCAGAATTCACTGGAGCTGGGCGGCCAATAAACTGAAATAAAAATAATAATTATTTCTGCCCAATGAAAGAAACGGGACGCCTTCCAGGCCATCTAAGGAACGGCCTAAGGAAAGCACCAGGTTGGGGGCGGGGGGGCGGAATAGCAACGAGAGGCTCCCTACAGCTGGAAAGAAGGCGCGGAGCCCGGCCGGAGGACCGCCGAGAGGGAAGGGAGGAAGCGAGGCGCCGGCCCAGCAGGAAACAGCCACGCGGACCGCCGCGCTTTACAGCCCCGGCACACTTACGGCCGCCCGCGCCTCCTGCTGCTATGGCCGCCCTGGCTTCCGGGTGGGTCGCGCGTCTGACGTCATCCCCCTCCGCCGCCGGCGGAGTCTGTTCCGTGTTCGCCCCGCCCCTTGAAGCGCCGCCGTTTCTGCGTTCTCTCCGACAGAGGGCGCGAGAGCCTTGGGAGCGTTTCCTTCGCGCTCGGATCTCCGCCCTTCTCCCGCGTGTTTCCCGGAACGTCGGAACTGTAGCCCAAGCCGCCGTTTGAGGGAAGGAGCGCGCGCTGAAGTGAGCGGGCAGGCCGCGGAGCGGAGACGCGCCGTTGGCGCGTTCCTTAGACGTGGCTGCCTTCAGCATCTTTGTCTGTGGCGAAGAACGGTGGAAGCTGTGATTCGAAACGTGAGCGAAGATGCTGCGGCCGACGTAGGTCACAGTGGGCTCGGTTACCTTTTTTGAATTGGCAGTCCGCTCGCTTTGATGAAGACATTCAAGCAACGTAGTGGCAAGAGAAAAGTTTTGCATGTAGGCTGGGCTCATACATTGCAGGAAGACGGGCAAATCAGGCCTATGGCAGTCGTGGTTTAGTCAGTTAAGGGGCTTGGTATGGTTCTGTGTCGTATGCAGTGTCGCAGTTGCATAATTGTTGGGTTCATATACCAGATTAAGCCATAAACCATGATTTACAAACTACAGGACTTGGACTCTCACTGCACGACATGGTCTGTTTCATTTTGCTTTAATATGTCATTGTCATTTGTAAATTATACTTACTGAGTTGTATAAACTGAGCCAGAATTGATATATTCAGTACAGGATAACCTAGTTAAGCTGGTTACAGTTGAGCATGTTGTGCGAAAAAGGCAATTAATCAGGGTGGTAGTCAATAAATTGAATGTATTTGTTCTGTAATAAATCAACCAAAGGTTGACTATATGCAGATGTTATTGCAACTCTTAGGACTCCAGGTGTCACGTTAGAAACATCTGGAAGAACACAAATTCTTTACTCTCAGTCCTGATCTGGTTTGGTGAAAGAAACAAGAGATTCCCTTTTTATCTTTCATGACAACTTTGCCCTTGGTGTGTAGATTAAAAGTCACCATGGTTTGCCAGGATTTCAGAATTAGCAAACTCTGGTTAATACTGGCCTGCTTCAAACCACTATTGGGATTTCAGAAGTTTGGCTGCCAAATACAAACCATTTTCCAGTATGAACACAGCAACAAATTAAAGCCATTAGAGAAAAGGGCATCAAGAACAATGTGTAAGCTGATATATTATTCCCAGTTCTATAAATCTGATTCTCCAAATCACTGTAACTTCTGAAGAGACTATAAAGGAGTATATGGAGAAAAACTCCTATAAAATGTCAGTAAAGGAGAATAATTTCATCTTCACTTTATAAAGGTCTCTTTATGTATATGTATAAAACAAACCTGTCCAAAGAATTCTGTGCCAATTTATAAAACTAAGTAACGAAATATCAGCAATATTTGTCAATCCAAATTTTCAGCTCCAAAATAAATGTTAAAAAGGTGTCTTGGATGAAATACAGCCAGCATTAAGTTTTTAAACACTCGCCTAGATTTAAAGCCTTGATAAAATGTACTAAATCTTTTAAGGTTTTTAATGAATCTAGCAGGTGTTTCATAAATCAGAGTTTGACTCAGCCCCTTCGTGTTTTAATAGCGGTAAACTAGGAAATTGCTGAGAGCTGAGGCAAAATGCATTCCTATAATAGCGAAAGCAAACTAGGTTTTTGTACAAGAAAATGGCCTCATGTCTGGAACTGACTTGGGTGATTGTAAATCAGAATCCATCTGTGCATCTATAGTTAACAAACTCAAGGTGTAACTGAGTAGAAAGGTAAATTCTCCAGAAGGTTAAGGAATCATAGCTGCACAGCTGAGCTATGGAAGGATTTGCCTGGAGAAACTGCCATAGTTACGGGAACTTTGTTGCATTCCTTTCTGTAACCTGGCCAAATATGGCCCATGCTCTTGCGGAGGTGAAAACTTGTGCCACTGACCCTTCATGGGTGCAGTGAGGAGTTCATGTGATGGAGACGTCTTTATTCCTCGCTGTATCCTTAAGCTGCTGGATTCTCATGTATTTCCAATTGGAGGCAAAGCTGGCTTAAGAAATCCTTCTTATTTCAACCCTTTCCTCTGCTTTGGCCACAGTGATGGTCTGATGTTCTGCCTGAAGCATGTTTGCCACAGTCCCTACTTGGTAGGTTACTTTTCTACCCTTCCCTCCTGTGCTGGGGAAGCAAGCAAACTGGCCTTTGCAGACATGTGGTTGCCAGTTTGTATGAGCCCCTCTCTGTAAACTCCATCTCGTACCTGACATCTTCCCATATTGTGCATGGGAGGGAGGGAGAGAGAGAGAGAGAGAGAGAGAGA